ATTATTATTATTATTATTATTATCAATATTTAAAACAGTTGAGTCAAATTTTTCAGGATTCTTTGATGAATAGAAGGATCCAAAGATAAGCATTTATGTGAAATTAAAAGCTTTTGTAACATTATACACTATACGATTCAAAAGCTTAGTCAGTATAATTTTTATTTTTTTTGGAAAATAAATGATAGAAATGAACACTTTTATTTAGCAAGGATGCTTTAAATTGATCAAAAGTGATGATAAAGACATTTATAATGTTACAAAAGATTTCTATTTCAGATAAATGCTGCTCTTGTTATTTTTTTATTCAAAAAAACCACCAAAAATTATACTCCTCTGTTTTCAACATCATAATAATAATAATAATAATTTCAACGCTGTTTTCAACATCATAATAATAATAAATGTTTTTTGAGCAGCAAATCAGAATATCAGAATGATTTCTGAAGGATCGTGTGACTGGAGTAATGATGCTAAAAATTTAGCTTTGAAATCACAATAAATTACATTTTAAAATATATTCAAATAGAAAGCAATTATTTTAAATGAACACACTTGCCCGAAAAAGTGCGGGGGGCGAATTTACGTGATATTAAAAGTGTGTGTGTGTGTGTGTGTATGTGTGTGTGTGTGTGTGGGGGGGGGGACACGTCCCCCGCGTAATCTACGCCCCTGCATTGACACAATGTGGTCTGTCCATCCACACTAGAAAAAAATGGATAACGCTCTTTTGGTCCAGCTAAATTAATAAATAACTCCCTTTCATTTATGTTTGTATCTGTTTATGAAAAGATGTCTGGACGTTGCAGAGTTCATTCGGGTGTTATTTAGTTTTGTTGTGGTGAAATAAACACATTTCATCCTCCCAATAACCCTTGGACACTCTCTTCACATTGTATCCACAATCCAGACAATGTGGCGAGATTCAAACGCTGGAATGCGAGCTTGCCGGAGGAAAATTACATATTTTTCCTCTTGTTCCAGCCACAAGCTGTCCTGTTCCATCTCCAGTCCAGGCCTGACTTACAGTACGTTCAGAGATAATCCAGAAAAAACACAATCGAGCAAAATAGTTACACCCAGTTTTTTTAGACTATACTTCTTTATTCTGTTCCTTACAGATTCATATCTGCTTATGACATAAAAACAGATAAAAAGAACATCAATTTCCCAAAAGTCCATGTGTGTGTGTGTGTGTGTTTAAGCACAGGATTTCACTGAGATCACTACTGTAATCAGTCAGAGCCTCATAAGCTCTGATTGGGTGCGGTTCATCTCAAAGCACATTTTACACTAGTCTTTCCCCTCTACTGCCATTACATCTAGTTTAGTCAGACATTTACAGAAGTTGATGTCACTAATGAGGGAAATGAATCATTATGTAACAAGCATGCAATTTTAAATACACAAAGCAACCAAATGTCATGCCCAAAAATGAAAATTCGTTCATCATTTACCCTCATGTCTTTCTAAACCTGTATGAGTTTCTTTCTTCTGTTGAGCACGAAAGATGTTGGTACCTATAAACAGCTGACGGTAGCCATTGACCTCCATAGTATTTTTTTCCATTACTATGGAAGTCAGTGGCTACCAGCAACTTTTTGAACATTCTTCGAAATATCATCTTTTGTGCACAACAGAAGAAAGAAACTCACACAGGTTTGGAACAATTTAATGGTGAGTAAATGATGACAGAATTTTCATTTTTGGGTGAACTATAACCTTTAAATGTCATTGTACAAACATAGCAGTAGTGGAATACAGTACATAAGATGGAAAAGGTTTGCATACGCTTTATTCTTTCATAACACCTTCAACTTATAAAGAACATTCAGCGATACCACATTTATGGCAATTATACAAATTCATCGCCATAGAACATTACAATGGAGTATATTACAAAATCTGCGCCACGCTCACAGATTTTAAAAGTCATTCCCAAGGCACTGGCCAATTAACATACATTTGGAAGAACAATACTGATTAATGTGCATGCTTTAATATCCCGTTTTTACTTCACTGCTTTGTACATTTGTGCACATGATGTATGCAACCTCATAATGTTATGCATTTGACTTTGGCCAAAAATACTCAAAAACGTGCTGGCCATGTGAAGACCATGTCAGAATATTAAGACGTCGTTTGTCACTTATTTTTCCCTCTCAGGGAGAGAACAAAACAATTCTACAAATGAATTACAATTGGTCTCTCACTAAAGAGGCATTTGATACATATAAAAGGCACTAATCTAAGATATATCAAGCCATTTACTGAAAACAAAGTATATAAAATTAATTCGCTTTAAAATACAAGAGGCAACCAATAAAAGCATACAGTATGTGCTTAAATGTAAACATTTAAACCTAAAATGGCAAAGTGATCCTTTGCATAGTCTGTTGCATTTTTATTACTACTATTAATATTTTTAGGTATTAAAACTTGTTTCACTCATTTGTCAGCTCAATTTGATAAAAAAAAAACAATACAAACCATTACACAAATTGATTGACTGATTGCTACTGTCTGTAAATTATCAAAGCAAACTGCTAAAAAGTCTATAAACACTCATAATAAGACAATACACACAATACAAACTCAAATAGTACCTCTATCATGTGAGGTACAAATTCAACATACTCAAGAGCTAAATGAAAATACTAAATATATACCGTACATGTAAAGATAAAGCAATGCACTGCAAGATTACTTTGTAAGTGGTACTTCCTAGTAAAACATTTGTACCTTTGAGAGATCGATAGTCTTTGATTACTTTGGAAAAGTTGTCAGTGCAAGACAAAAGGCACTTGGTGGTTTCAATCCTTCGGTGTACATCTGGCAACATTCACAGCTTTAGATATAGTCAGAATTGAAAAAAAGAATTGCTTTGGAAATATCTGAAGAATACGACGAGTGTGTTGGGATAACGTAAGAATGGTGAGAGAAGACGGAGAAGAGAGAAGTAAACAAACCGCTTTAGAGGGTCTAGGAAGTCTAGAGCTCAAGAAAGCAGCACAGACTTTGGTTGCGTGCAGGAGAAAAGCCATGGACGGGTCTGAGAAGAATTCCAAGGCTTTACAAAAAGCTCAGTTTGGGGAGTGAGGTCTGTGAAGATTTGTGGTCTGTGGCATTCAGGAAGGTGGTTGAAACAGAGCTGGTGTAATTTGCACTTCTGTCAGTGGCTAAACTGAGGCACTATTGAGAAAGCTACTACTGACAGGCCGACGCTACCCTGTTGAAAAAACCAGCATATGCTGGTTAGGTATGTTTTGACGCTGGGATGCTGGTTTAAGCTGGTCCTTTGCTGGTTTATGCTGGTCCTTTGCTGGTTTAAGCTGGTCCTTTGCTGGTTTATGCTGGTCCTTT